AATTTCCAAATTGAAGTCACCCATGATCACTGTATCTTCACCACAAGTAGCAACAAACTCGAACAGCGCACCCAGCGCACGGCTGGCAGCTGTGCGATCTGAAGCATGTAAGTAAACATTGATGAGAATCAACGGCCTTTGCTGAGGTCTATAGAGTTTGACGGCCATGGATCTTTCCACAGACACCATGTCGACAGGAAGGGCCAAGGCCTCAGCAGGCCACTTTGTTAGAACCAATGTACCACCTTCCACTACATTTTTCGAATTTCTTCCTTGAGGGCCAGGAAAAAGTTGCCACCCGCGTGCCTTGCGAAAGGCGTTCCAGCTAAATCCAGCACCAAAAGAACTCCCTCAGACATCTGCATAGCTCTGTAGAATGAAGTGCTGCGTGGATTGCTTTTGATATCCTCTTCCACGCAGTGCTGGTTATTGGCATATGCACAGACCCAATAGAATGTACTGCTTGAGAGTTCTCGCACCAGAGCATGCTGCTCCAAGCAGGCCAGAAACTTACAAACAGGCTCCTAACAGATCTGCCAACACAAAATTGGACGTGCTTCAAAGCAATAGATTGACTTTCATCTATCATTACGCTGGATGTTCATTTCTTTTTGATACAGCATCCTATTGAGGTTCCGAAATGAACAAGTCACAAGTCCAAAACTCAACCAAGGCTTCTAGGGGAATGTGAATTATTAGCGGAAAAAGATCAGGGTTCAGATAAGGGGGGAGGAGTTGTGCAGAGGACTTTGATATGTACAAGACACAAAGCATAGGGTGCGCAACTACCAAATTCGATGCATGGTTCATGGTACCTTTTTGCAGCTACAAAATACAGAACACAACTTAATTTGACTCGGAAAATAGTTCAAAATATGCACTATACAAAGACCAATGCATCTGAAGTTGAAAAATAGCTGAGAATCGGAAATGCCAACATGAATTTTCCCAATAACATTTTGTAGTTGGGCCTATGCCATCCAAAGTTCCGACCAACATAATTTCAGTAATTAAACATTTTGGGGGTGACGTCGTGACGTCGAACTAAATCGTACATATTTTATTGATGTTTCAACTTCCTCAACATAGTATATACAAAATGCACATGAGATTTCATGTTGGATGCTTCACCTATTCAACTTGTACAACTACAAAATGCAAATGATATTTTGTGTTGGATGCTTCAACTAACTCAACATATACAACTACACAATACAAATGAGGATTTGAAAGGAAACAACCACAAAATGAATGCAAATACAAAAAGGTTGGCCCAACTCCATTATTTTGTACAAAACGACCCCTGGCTGGCAATCTGTACTGTAGCCCAAGTCCTCCCCTTTATGTAGCTGTTATTTGATCCCGGATGGAAAAAGAAACTTGTTGCTGACAGACAATGCAATAGCACGGTCTCAAACAACCTTGAGAGTTTGCCTATCCAAGGCTCGATCCAAGCATGTGACACAAACCAGTGAGGTCTCTGCACTTGAATCGCCATGATCTCAACCATGCTGCAGCCCTTTTTCGCATAGCCGTCCTGGGATTCTACATAATGTTGCCAATTAAAAAAGAAAAACGGTAGATTCTTCAAATTGGAAAATGTTGTCACATCATCAACAAATCCAGGCTTCGGTGGCTGGTTTGATGATCCAGTGATTCGCATCATACAGGTTGAAGGTCTCAAACTGCAGCCTTGTGCCACGCTGTTCTCCGAAAGTCTCGCACCATCTGTCAGCCATCTTGGAGATGAAAACAACGATCTTTGCCAATTGTTCGTGAGTGATCCCTCGCTCTGCAGTATCTTCGATGCAGAAAGGCTCCTTCGACGGGTCCACCAACAAATGCAGCAAATGAAATTGGAATGGAATTCGAAAAGCATTGTGCAGCACCCTCAAAGGTGGAATCATGGGCCTGCAATCTCTGAAATTCAAAAGATCGACTTCTAAACATGGTTTCTCTGAATTCTACTTGATCCTATTGGTTGTATTGCCTTTGTTTCACATGGTCTCAAGGAGACGCCGCTGAAGTTTCTCTCTATTCTATTGACAACAGAGCCTTTGCTTCACATGTTCTGAATGCACAAAGGCGCCTGTTCAGTGGCCGACTGTTCCCCCACTATCAAGTAGATCTCACAAGCCACGTTCGAAATGCGTTTAAACCATTGAATCCAAAAAAAAAAACCATCGGTCCATCACACCGCTGCACTTGTCGCAATTGGTACTTGTTGGCATTTAGTTTCTTGGCTGCGGAGGACCTGGCATGGTCTGCATTACCTATTGAAAAAGAAACAAAGCTGCAGGTTTCTCTCCTGGTTGGTGATCTCTGAGTAGTTTGTCAAGACTAAAGTGCTGTGGCGGGTTGCCTCCACAATGTCATCGCACTGTAGCTGGCAGACCCCACTTGACAGCAACTTGTTCCCATGCCATGGGCTGTCTGGCAAACGCTCACGTAGCAGTAAAATAATGTCAGCAGCGGTGCTCGAAGCAGTCAGTTTGATATCAAAGTGACCATGTCCAGGAATATCCACAGAGACCGACATGAGGCAGCGAATCCTTTGCGCTGTTCAGTGCAGTCTGGAACAATACACAGGTTTAATATCGATGGTTTCTCAAAGACTTGCTGCGCAACATGAGATTTGGCTGTTGATCAGGCTGGCCAGGGTTTCATGTCAAGGTGAGTGGTACCGCAGAATGCAGATGCGGTGCAGGTCCGTGTTGAAAGCTTGAAAGGAAGCTACGGAGACACAAATTGGGCAGCACCTCCAAAAGAACCAACGCAGTAAACACGGCCCACACGGTCAAGGAAAAGAACCACAACCACTTTGCAGAACTCCTTCGAAAGCAAGCTATGTCCAAATAGCAACACTGGATGTTCAAATGTATTATATACAATATCATATATCTATATAGATATATTCTAGACGATGGAACATCCGTCATCAAGAATATTTCATGCTTGGTTTCCGCGCTCGTCTAGGACCAAGGCGGAGAAGTCCTGCAGCTCTTCGACTGACAGCAAAATGATGGGCATTGAGTTCGTTTCACCCTAAAGGATTCTACAGGATCCTAAAGAGACAAAACAAAAGAAATTCATAAATAGAAATTCTGTGTCAAGTCATATTATGATCATCTATAATCCAACTTCTGAAATGTACATCCTCCAATAGCGTAGCCTGGCCGTGAAAACCCAATGTTTCAATAGGAAAGTCAACTGTAAAAGCAGGGTTTCCTATCACCAGGTTTCACAACCAAAGGATACATGTTGGGGTTGGAAGCACTTGCCACCTGCACCGGGGGCCTCAACATCTCTCTGGGACAGGGAAGGTGGACCCGGTTTCTCTTGGAATACCGATTCTCAATGGAAAGTTCCAAAATCGTTGTCTCTCAATGCAGTTGACCTGTCCAAAATCCATGGGCCGCATAGTGCTTGAAAGATGATGGGAATGTATGAAATCTTCCAGATGTTCCAGAAATGTTGCTGCCAATGATATCCAATGACAATCAAGGTCATAATCCCATTGTTTTCATGATGAAAATTCGTGTTACTAGTAGTATGTCAATTGGTATCAACTCTAAATCCCTGGCCATGTCATCACCCCACGACTCTCGAAACTCGTCGCGCAGTGCTGGGCGTTCGAGCCGCTGCCGTGAACTTCCTGCAGCGCTGGGATGAAGCCAGGCTCATCTTTTTCCCCGTGCGAAGCCCATTTCCACTGGGGACAGTCCCAGCAAACTATGGACTTTTGGATAAGGCGCGCCCTTAGGATAACTGGTGTCTAAATATCGGAATCCCCACACAAGTTGTGTAATGGTGTGCGCACATGCGAAAAGCCGGTAATACGGAGCAGCTTGTGGAACAGTCACATGGTTGTCCTTCATCGGTCCACACATTGAGTGGCGTAAACACCGCAAACAATGGAAACCATCTCAACTTGAAGGTGTTGAACATTGTTGAACTTCCATACAAGTTCTGGCATTGATAACATGGATAAACCCTAACCCTTGCTGCATCGTCCTCCATGGTAGAAACCATTATTGCAATTGTCGTTATCTGCAACACTTTCCTCAGGTGCACCAAAACAATCCAAAACATTTGAGATCTTCCAGGGTCAAGTCCAAGCACCTTTTTCCAAGCTAAGCCATGGATTTTGACCCAGCGGATCGACCCCACCCGCCAGATTCTGGATTCAGACGATATTATATCGTGTTATGTTGTATGATGTTGTCATGTTCTTATAAAAGGAATGGTCATACACCCACAACTTGTCGAAACTCAAAAATTCTCGGCGTGATGTTCCCATTTGGAGCCATTGGTGCCTGGTCCAAGGCGCAGCGTGCCGAATGGCAGCACTCAGCGCTTCACGTGGTTGACACAGTGGTTACACCTGTCTCAGCGGCTTCTTTCAACGTTTTTCAAACAAACAACTTCTGTTCTGCTCCCTTCAGACTGTCTTTTTCTTGTTGGAAGTCTTTCACCACAAGAGGGCCAATCTTGAACCCTACAAAGCCTGAAAACGAGTTTCCAAGCAGAGGCAAGCTGTAAATACCGGGGAAGACATCCCAACAATGGAGGTTAAAAACTTACAGACCACACCAGAACCGAAAGTTTCATGAAGACTTCGACTGAAGACTTTGATAACTGTGATGACTTCGACAGGACATTCCGATGCCTCGGTGTGCGAACGTCTCTCCAGTTGCGCGCCAGGTGCCACTGCCACCTTGGACCTTGGTCGCCCAACGCAGGTGCTACTCTCAAAACGCCCCAAAAAATCACGAAACAAGAATAGAATGCAATAAATATCATGAGGACAAACCATATGAAATGCATTGCAACTAGATTCAAAATGATTCAAAGGGGTTGTTGGAAGTAGGTGAACTGTGAAATCTATACCCAGGAATCAGTCCTAGCCTCGTCACAATATGGGAAAAAAATGACCACAACCCTATCAAGCGGGCAGATGGCAGAGCACCCCATCATTTTCGCCGAAACAAACAAAAAAAGCATCCTTCATCCGCATAGCCGGACATCTCAGTTGACCATCTCACCGGTTGAAACACGTTATATCCGAACAAATTGCGGGCAGCTCGCTGAGACCATTGCCCCACAGCCAAAGGTCCTGCAGCTGGCCGAGTTCTGACAGCATATTGGCCCAGACTTCAGCGGGTAATTCGCCGAGTTTGTTGTACCCCAGGTTGAGCAACCTCAAGTTGTCGAGCCCTGCAAACAGATGATCCCAGACTTCAACAGGCAACTCATTCAGCCTGCACCTATCGAGGACAAGTTTTTGCAGGTTTCCCAGCGTGGAAAAGGCTTCAGCATGCAACTTGCTGAGATCGTTTCCGCCCAAGTAAAGCTCCTGCAAGTGGCTGAGCCATGCAAACGATTTGGACCAGACTTCAGAAGGCAACTCGCCGAGTTTGTTGGACCTCAGGTTCAGCTTCCGCAAGTTGCTAAGACCTGCGAAGAGATGGGCCCACACTTCGGCAGGCAACTTGCTGAGCTTGTTGGACCTCAGGCTGAGATCTTGCAACTTTCTGAGCCCTGAGAAGACTTCAGCAGGCAACTCATGAAGCTCGTTTTCCCACAATTCAAGCTCCTGCAAGTGGCTGAGTCCTGAAAAGACTCCAGCATGCAACCGAGTGAGCGAGTTGTACCCCAGGTTGAGCTTCTGCAAGCTGCTGAGACCTGAGAAGACTTCAGCATGCAACTCACTGAGATCATTATCGTTCAGCCGAAGCTCTTGCAGGCTTCCGAGCCCTGAAAACATATTGACCCAGACTTCAGCGGGTAATTCGCTGAGTTTGTTCTTATTCAGCATGAGCACCTGCAACTTGCTGAGCCCTGCAAAGAGATTGGCCCAGACTTCCAGAGGCAACTCATTCAGCCTGCACCTATCGAGGACAAGTATTTGCAGGTTGCCCAGCATGGAAAAGGCTTCAGCATGCAACTTGCTGAGATCGTTTCCGCCCAAGTAAAGCTCCTGCAAGTGGCTGAGCTCTGCAAACGATTTGGACCAGACTTTAGAAGGCAACTCGCCGAGTTTGTTGGACCACAGGTTCAGCGTCCGTAAGTTGCTAAGACCTGCGAAGAGATGGGCCCACACTTCGGCAGGCAACTCACTGAGCTTGTTGGACCTCAGGTTGAGATCCTGCAAGTTGCTGAGTCCTGCAAAGACTTCAGCAGGCAACTGGCCGAGTTTGTTGTACCCCAGGTCGAGATCTTGCAAATTTCTGAGCCCTGAAAACAGATTGGCCCAGACTTCAGAAGGCAACTCACTGAGTTTGTTGGACCTCAGGTTGAGAATCTGCAAGTTGCTGAGTCCTGAAAAGACTCCCGCATGCAACCGAGTGAGCGAGTTGTACCCCAGGTTGAGCTTCTGCAAGCTGCTGAGTCCTGAGAAGACTTCAGCAGGCAACTCACTAAGCTTGGTGGACTCCAGGTTGAGAATCTGCAAGTTTCTGAGCCCTGAGAAGACTTCAGCAGGCAACTCACTATGTAGGTTGTACCCGAGGTCGAGAATCTGCAAGTTGCTGAGTCCTGCAAAGACTTCAGCAGGCAACTCGCTGAGATCGTTTTGATACAAGTAAAGCTTCTGCAAGCTGCTGAGCCCTGAGAAGACTTCAGCAGGCAACTCGCTGAGTTTGTTGTATCGCAGGTCAAGCTTCTGCAACTTGCCGAGCCCGGAAAAGACTTCAGCAGGTAGCTCACTGAGCGAGTTGAACCCCAGGTCGAGCTTCTGGAGTTTGCTGAGCCCTGAAAAGATTTTGCCTGGCAATTCAGTCAGCTTGTTTGAGGCAAGGTCGAGGGCCTGCAGCAAAGGAGTCTTATCAAAGATGTGATTTGGCAGCGAGGTCAACTTGTTTTCGCTCAGATCGAGAACTTGTAGCCGCGGGCTGTGCTGCAAAAGCTCTTGCGGGAGTATGCTCAGCTCGTTTCCATCAACGATGCGATGGCCCCTCTCATCAGATTTACCCCCCAGCAACAATTGCTGCAGGGCTGGCATGGGGCGCAGCAAGTCTCTTGGCAATGCATCCAAACGATTTTGGCTGAGGGACAAGATTCTCAAACTTGACAACCCAGCAAATGTGTCAGACTCCAAGTGCTTCAAACCCAAGCGGCCCAAGTCCAGCAATTGCAAGCTGTCCAAAGGAGCGAACACCTTCTCAGGTAAAAATGACAACCGATTGCCAGAGAGCGATAACCGTTGCAAACTCCGTGAAGAAGTGAAGGCATCCTCTGCAACACTTGTGATGTCCTGCTCACTCAAACTCACATCTTTGAGGCGAAGAATGCCTATAAGGCTGCAACTCGCAAGGTGCTTTGCACCATGATCCTTTTGGTGACAGCGGCACGGAACGCATCCGAAATCAGCCGTGTCAATCGGGTAGAAGTGCGTTGAAAGCAATAGAGCAATGATCGTTACAAGCAAACAGGGCGAATACCTGAGCAGTGGTTGCAAGGAGAAACGAAGAACTCGAGTTCATCCATCAAAGCCCGATGGTATGAAAGGGGTGGCATTCCGGCACAGCACAAACTCACGCCATGATGAAACAGAAACCTAATCTCAGGGGGATTGATATTGAAGACATGGGTGTCATAGGTATCCTTTTTTTTGGCTGTTGATGCTGGGGAACAACAACTTAAGAAGTGTTGTATAAGATTGTATTAGTATGCTCCAGGACGCACAAAAGGGTGCAGCAAGTACAGTAAAGCTGAGAACAACAAGACACCTCCTCTGTACAAATATATTGACAAGTTGAGGGGCTTCGAGATACTCACATGACAAATTGTGTCAACAGGTTGCGAAACCACGATGGATTGAAAATTGCGGAGACAACATAAAACGAAACATAACGAAACCAATGCAGCAAAAATGCAAGGCGTTGCAACAAATCCGATATCTCTTTGAGCAAGAAAATCTCGATGAGCGCAGTAGTGAGTGGGAAGCAGAGCTCGGTAAGCTTTGCAGTTTCTTCCAGTAAGTCAATCGATCCGTGCGCTCCAAGGCACGGCAAACAGTGCAAACATGTGCAAGTGAATAGTAGACAGCAAAGAAACCAAAAAAGTCGGCTGGGAATGCAAATGCCGGGTCCAACTCTGCTTGGAAGTTCACCCAAACCTCATCCCCAAAATTTCCTGAAATGGTTTGGCCCAGCTGTAGCTCATAGATGGCCAGCAAGGTGATGATGAGGTATGTGCTGGCGTAAGCAATATCAAGAACCGCATCCATCATCGCAGCGCCACGGCGCACCCACTTCACAGTGGGTAAACCCAACAAAATGGTTGGATAGATGCTGTTCAAACAGAGGAAACCCACAAAAGCCCAAAAACATCCTTCAAACGCATCTGAATGCTTCGGAGCTGAATGGAATGCGAAGGACACAAGGCCACCCATGATTTGGAGCTTTCCAAAGGCCTGTAGCATCACTGTGAATAACTGCAGCATTGCAACTTTGAAGCCGTAGAGCTTGCCTTCAATGCCAAAATATTCCTCATAGAGCAGCTGGGTGGGTTTCAACGGTCTCCACTTGACATTGGCTGACCGACACCGGCGCAGGTCGCTCAGGAGGACGATGATCAAGGCAGGGTACGGCAAAGAGAAAAGAATGGAGGGCAACAGCTGCGAAAGGCTCTCCTCCAACCATCCAGAATCAGCAGCGGCAGCCTCCGGCAATCTCCCATCACTGGACTCAACTGTCTGCTTGAGAGCAAATGCATCTCGGATCAATTGTGGAAGCTTGGAACGGATGAAAGGTGGACTGTACCGCACAAAGTATTGCCCCCCAAGGTACACTGCTGCAAGTAATGAGCTGATCCGAAGCAAAGCAACAACACCGACCACCAATCGTGATTGCTGTGCTGGTCGCCCAGACATAAGCAAAGGATCTACCTGCAAACCGCCTGCCAGAAGTCCCACCTGTTCTGCCAAGTGGTGCACATCATCCACTTGATTCTCCAGCTTTGTCAAGGAGGCTTCACGGAAACGGATCGTTGCTAAATAGTGGTTGATCTTGACCACCATCTCGGCACATCTGACACCAGCTTGGACTGAAGCAAAAGAATCGCGAGTACGCACGATCTTGATTTCTCGCAACTCATCATGCTCTGCTCTGGTTTTGAGAAAGCACCACGCTCTGAGCATTCTTTCCCAATCATCGAAGATTACATCGCAATACAAGAGATCTAAGATTTTGTCCCATCCACCTTCTCGCACGACAGCCTCTTGTGCCATCGGCAGTGTCATCAATACAGGCCGTAAATCTTGCCGAGATATGGAACCAGGCTGCTCCTCCAGGAACTCTCGCAGTGGAAGGCACAGATTCTTGTCGAAGTCATCAAGATGCTTTCTGGCTTCGACGAAGTGTTCCGTCAAGCTTGTGACTTGAGGCTGGGCAATATCGTCTCTGCCCCAATCACCAAAAAGCCTGGACATGTCATTCTGCAAATTCTTTGCATACAAAGCTTCCGATTCAACTTCAAGCTTCCTTGACAGTGTGTGCATTCTGTTGAGCCGAGCTGTGGTGTAAAAAATGCTGACAATTGCTATTGAGATAACAATCATAAAAATCAACGTGCCAGACACTCCTGTTGACTGAGAAAAGCTATAACTTGCAACGGGCAACAGGCTGAGAACCAGAAGAACCAACAAACATCGGCTCTCTACCTCTGCCACTGCTTGTGCAAGAATCAGCACACTAAGCTCCACATTCTGGCGCCAAGCATTTCCTACAACACAAATCCTCTTGAAAAGGCCCGACCAGCGGTGCCTATCACAATAGCCGCTCTCAGAAGAATGAAAAGAATTGCACAAAGGACGGCTGCATGGGAACGGTTTGCTTTCATCCAACATCTCGTGTTGACTGCTATGACTCTCTGTCTCTGCATCTTCAACAGCTGATTCGTCACTGCTTGTGGCGCTGGACCTGCCAAACCTGGTTGGCTCAAAGTACACTGAGCTGACATGTGGCAGCTGGCGGGCACTGAGTTGTCGCATCCGTTGCCAGATGAAACGGAAGCTCCGGGCGCAACGCCCTTTGATGACACCGCCAAAATCAACATGAGCAAATCCAGGGAACCATTCTCGCTTTGGCAAACCTTCAATATTCACCCAAGTGTCCAAGCCGCCTCGCAACCATTTCAGTGACTTGATGGATTGGTGAAGTTCAATCCTCGCATCAATCGACACCTGGCCACATCCACTGAGATCAATAACTATACTCTCCAGGTTTCGCGACGACAGCAAAGCTGAACTCAAGCATCCGAATTCTTCCAAACATGGCAAGTTCATAAACCTGCAGCCAGCTGAAGAAAATAAAAAAACATCATAGAAAAACACTAGCATGTCATGCAGCATGTCCATGAAAACACCTGAAAGTAATAAAGCTAAACAAAGATAGTTATGTCAAAAAAAACTGAAAGGGTGCAAAAAAAGGAGCGAACAAATGTGAACATCATAAGATATCATAAGCTTCTGGTTCAAGATGAAGAAAAAAATGACTGGA